CAACTAGATTGTGATCTGCGCGTCGACTCCAAATGACTGCAGTTGTGGCTCGGTCAAGGACGAGTTTTATCTAAATTTTCATCAGCTCTTGTGTGAAGCCAACAAATCGGATGTAGTTGACCTCACTAGCAATCTCACTGCACGGGTTAGCCACCAGTGACCATACGAATGTCGCGTTTATGGTCATCACGCGTTCGATGACGACCGTTCTGATAACGGAGGGATACTTCTCACATTGTGCGAAAAAAACCATATGTTTCTCCCGAGCAACAACTTCCGACATACGAAGAAGCGTTCCGCAACTTGGTGTCCCTCTTCTCCAACGCAAGCGTGATCTCAAATTTATCACATTGCAATTAGCTTCAGATGACAGGGCAGCCTACGAGACTGCAGACCCTTTTGGTCCACCTTCACCAAATCAGCACATGCGCTGGTCTGCGCGAAAATCTGTGTGTTTTGGAGGGTCCCCAAAAACAAAACACTGCATGATTGATGCGAACAGTTTAGCTACTTCCTCGTTCCGGGCTGGCTATCAGTCTCAGCTGCCAGACTTACACAGCTGCAATCTTTTGCGGGACATTGAGTAATACTGGATTTGTACATATTATTAGACTATATATATATATGTATATATAAAAGACAATAAGAATTTCCGGACAATCAATCTGCGGCCTAGCTCGATGCCCTTAAATGCTTGGATCTCTGCTCGTTCTCTGGAGCTGTTCGACGGCCTCAGAGATACCCCGGTAGAATCGGATAACCACGAGCGGCGCCGCTCTGCCAACTCGCATCTAACCAAAGCCTGCACAAGGATTGCGACGCTTGGTTGAATATGCTTTAGGGGTGCAGACCACATCCTTCTCTGGTAACACCCGCAAGATTTTGCAACTCACTCGGTTCACTGGCGCTCGGTTCACTAATGCCTATAAGGTTGTCTGCGAGGCGGAGGAGTCTCCGATCACCAACCAACAGCGTCGTTAGAACCGCTGGGAAAAACACTTTCAAAGGGTCTCCACCATGCATCAGTGCATGCAGTACCCATTTTTGTCTACCGTGGCTTGCTCCACTGAATCAACTTAGCGAAGCGGAAGTCTGCCTCGAGGTCCGGCGCTTGAACGCATTCAAGGATGCCGGATAATATGGACTTCCTCCGGAGCTGTTCAGGTGCGGCGGCGTGGCGATTACTAACTGACATTGTTGTTCACAAAAATATATCACGAAGAAAAACTGCCTTCAGCGTGAGACAAATGAGTTGTTGTCCCGATTGTTAAGAAAGGAGCACGCACGATAGATTATTCTCATTTCGGATGATTCCAAGCTAGGGGCATCCATTTCGCTTCGCAGAGTATCCTAAATAAATGAGTCATAGAACGCACTCCCAGACCCAGTTATTTCCTCCCCTACCTTGGACCTTTTCAAAAAACCATTAGATGTTGCTCTTAGTTCCCAGCACTTTGTTTCCTAAACTCCTCTATTGTGGATTACGCCAAGCATGATTTTCAACAGCATTTATGTATCAAACGGACCCAAGTGAACGACCATATTTTACTTTTCTCACGCCTTATATCAACGACCACTGCACCCCAGTGTATTTCTGAACGTTTACGCTCGATTTTTTAAATGTTTGATGTAATTTATCAAAATATCCATCTCGGCAGGTGTTCGGTAAATGACCCAGATATATTTTGATTTCATCATATTCACCCGAACCATCCTACGGTATGTGTCAAGCACTTGCTTTTTTCTCGTGATAACTCATTGTTCATTGTACAAGCGTGAAGAACAAGCTTGTTTGCATCCCGGCCGTGGATGTGTGGATCAATATTCCAACGCCGACGATTCCGTTAACTCCTAGAACACTACCACATTTACCACAGACCCCCTATCATCGCATTACAAGACATATGGGTTGCATTGTTCTCGGCTGGTCGACCTACTTTATGGCGGTTTGTTAAAGAATGGGGTGCTAGAGAGGTATACCGTCATACTCCAGGCAGAGTGAGGGTGTACGGCCATCTTTCCTCCCCCTTCGCTGTCAATAACGATGTGCGACAGTACTGGTCTGTGGCCCTGTTCGTCCTCAAACTTGTGATAGAGGACATTTGTGGAGAGCTCTAGGTTTCCATACTTTTGGCTTAGAGCGATCGACAGGCCATGCTGATAATATGCCTTATTTGCGGACGATCCGCAAAGTATGCAACTCATACTCAATCGTTTTGAGATTGAAGCATACAAGTATGCTATGTGCTTCGTCCTATCAAATTGTAAAATGTTGATCTAGGACGGGGCCGCAGCTACTCCGGTGCTCTCTCTTGAAGGTGCACAGCTTGAACTAGTAGATAGTTTGGTCTACCTTAGGAGCTGTGTTGCTACTGGTCGCACTAGAAGCAAAGCGATTCTCACCGCATCGCTGAAGCCAATTCAGTATTTGTCCATCTGAAGCATTTGTGACGTTGTGCAAAAGCCTCATTTTCGATAAAGGCCTGCGTTTACAATACCTCTGCTAGTCAAGTGTTTTTGTATGTGAGCGAGTCCTGGCCAATTCATGTGGAAGACATGCACCATCTTTCCGCTTTCGGCAACGGTTGTTTGAGGAGGATCGCTAGGTGTGGTGGCAACACGTAGTTCACATTGATGACGTTAGATATCCCATAATGGGAACTGAGGCTATTCCCTCCAACAAGAACGTTTTTTTGCCAGTTAAGTGGCTCAGGCAGGTGTTACGCATAGCGCCTAAGATTTCGGCGCGCCGCGCCTTATTCTCTCCTGCAGTATCTGGCTGGAGGTGCCAGTGTGATGGTGATCTGTCCACTAGGTGACAGCGCGTTAAATGGCGGACTTAACGTTTAGCCGCCGTTTGACTCCTATGTCTTCCAGGTAGGGGACCCGAGGATGGGGAATGTCAGTGGCTTGAAACGCTGGGGACATGGACCACAACCAGAATCGGTGGAATAACTGTGTGCGGAATTGCATTAATTCACAGGTTTAATGCCTCAAGCATTGGAAATGACAAGGAACGAAAAACACAGTGTGTGAAAAACATAATGTGTCGCACCATTCTTGATTAAATTGTACTTCAGTTTGATTCCCATGGTTTTTTTCCATGGTTCCATACACAATTTTTGGACTATTGCAATACCCTCATATCACCCTGCTGCCTTATAGGTTATACACTGGATCAAAGGCTCAGGGTGGTGCCCCCTAAGACCACTCTCTACTTCGACCTGGGCAACCGGGTGGTATCTCGCCCACTGACGAACCGTGGATGGATAATCCCCTACCCTCCCCCAATAAAAAAACATCAAAAGACTCAAAACTTTGAGTGGAAAAATGGGGAAAAATTTATTTGCTTTCTTCATTTACTCTAACCCTGTTTTCCTATTCCTCCATGGTTTCGATGGCACAATATCTGTATACAGATTGTGATCAATATATATATATATATATATATATATATATATATATATATATCCCCGGCTGAGGCTGATGCTTCTTCACCGCAGTTGGGCCAAACCAACTTACACTTAAACTGGGTCTTTTTAAGCTTGCTAAATTTCATTCCACTTTGTTTGGTTTATTCTGCCCACCTGAAAAATCTTCTATTAACTGGCCACGTTGCTTTCGCTATTTTCGCTTCGGTAACTTTGTTGCGTTTGTAGCATTTTTAAGTAACTTGTGGACATTTCTTACTTACGCGGATTCGTTGCTAACCAACTTACTTCATATGGTAATTCAGCGAAGAGTCGTGCCACCGTATCTGTATGCATTAGTGGATTAGTTTTATTTCATCTTGTCGTTTCAAGTGGTTGGATGTTGCTTGATATCCCCGGTGTGGCTGCGCTTGATGTGCATGTTGACCAGGTGCCTACCTGTCTATTACCCACTACCTCGTCCATACTGGCTCCAGGAGACAGTTGGTCGTTGCTGGAGGGGACAGGGTGCACGGTCCTTGTGGTCGTGCTAGGCTCGAAGAGTGGTTCCATGCACTCAGTGTGGAGCGGACTACGGTCCAGCCACCGCCTTGTGTGCGGTTGATTCCCAAATACAGCGTGCTTGTGTTTGCCTGTGAAGGAGCGTGGGCCGGCTCCGTTGATGAAACGTGGCTCCCATCCACATGCCTCCCGGTCTTATTCCTTCGGGTTTACACTGGATGTGGGTGTGTGGTTGGAGCTGTGGGTGGTGTAGCGCAAGTCACCCATGATCCCTCTGTAGGCGCAGACGTCTTGTGGCTTGCCACCGTGACAGGCCAATCCGGAACCGGATACCGACAACCAATATATATATATCTGCTCTATGCATGGGTTTAGAGCAGTTATCCTCGCGTTTGAGCACTCCGTTTTATCGGCTGATGGTTCATATATAAACGAAACCAACAACCCAAGGCAGTCAGGTCAATAGCTAGAAAGAACTATTTTTTTCACCAGGGTGCAACTGTAGGTGGCAGGCCGCTCATGGATAGTTACCACGTTGCCTTCAGTTCCCCACGTCGGAAGAAACCAGAGTTGACAAGTGATTTTGAATGCTGTTCTATGAATTAGGAAAAGCATGGACTACAGCAGAGACGCAGCCCGTGTAATTACATTTGGTACATCTACTGGCATGGAGGACCAACCACTGCTCCTGATCCATTATACTGATAGCTACCAGTCGGATAGTATAAGATGTAGTGTCAAGCAAAAAATGATAGGTGCAGCTTCCATTACGTGCTCGGAAACCTGAGTGACATAGGTCTCGACTGTCATACTCAAACACGAATAAATGCGTGCCAACCAATATCCGGTGATCAGTTGGTTCAGTGGGAGCCTCTCATCTATAACCTCATCGACGTGTCCCTACGCATGATGGAATTAACAATAACCATGCAAATATTTAATTTTTTTTTCAATCACTTGTCACTTACGCCAGTAACTTTAGTGTCATTAAAACATGACTTTCTGCCTGCTCCTTAATCTGAGCTTCACGTGACCTTTTACTTTCCAAGATACGCATCTAACTTACAGGCTAAAGAAGCAGCGTATACCCATCTAATGGAGCTCGAACAACGACCCTGTAGGACGAAGTCTGAACAGGATGAGCTTCATCGAAAAACAAGGCAGCTACAACTTAAGGCTCAACTGGATGCCCAATTGAATGAGCGAGCCGACATCAGACGATTTGCTTACGAGGAGCGCCTCAGGGATAAAGCTATGGTTGAGGAAACCACTCGTAGAGTTCATGAGGCAGATAAAAAGTGAGTGAAGTGCCACCCGGTGTACATGCGGAAGCTAACAAATATCGATGATATGGTAAATCATTGTACACATGCACCTACTGTATCGTGTATGCATTTAATGTATATAGCTATCTTGTAGTTTAATTTCCCCTCAAGAGTAACCTATATATCTCATTGAAAAATACCGTGAAATGAAAATAGACATAAAACGCCCATGTGGATTCATATTCTTTCCACTTCAATAGAAACATATCTTCTTGACCAACAGACTGATGCGTCTTGTAACATCCAGTTCTCTCGTGTTAAACTAGTGTTTGTGCACCAATATTGCTCGCAGCTCTGCAGATGTGATTCCAATGATAGTCGCACATACCACGGGCATCTTTAATCTGGACTGCTTAATAGGAAATATGCTATTCAGATACCTGATTTAGCTGAACGAAGTACGATTGTTACGAATGTGGGAATGGCCCCGAAGAAATCATCTAGTTCGTTTCAGAATAAAATGATACTACTATACCCCATACATTTTTCGATTAATTAATGAGACTATCGAATGTTACGAGCTCGAAGTATATGTCAGCACATCTTGCCTTATATAAACCACAGCTTTCCACGAGTATGTATATTGAGTATAGATGGTAGCCCGGCGAACGAACCATAGCGCCAAAGCGTAGTGTCTAACTATTTAATGAAGACTCCCTACGTCAAATTTACTGAAACTGTTGAAAGGAAACACTACTGAAATAATGAGGGTGAGACAAGGTCATTGTCAACCAGTTATATGGGTAGCTGTGTTCACGATCGATACACAAATGGCTTTGTGACACCTCTCTTCCCTGTTAACGATTAAAGAGTTCGGGTAATATCGATCAAGTGAATTGAGCGGGCTTGTGGGCCGTCTTAATTGAGATTGTTTCGCTTTAGGTTGTGGCTCTTTGCTTTTTTCTGAAAGTGCCCCGTTCGTTTGTGTGCGAGCAGCCGTCGACTGCTGACAGTTGCTGCGACTTCATCGAGCATGGTGGAACATGGTCAAAAGTGCGGCGTACCACGCGGCTATCTTCCAGCTGTAGCTCTGCCTAGTTACTCGCTGAAGGCAGATTTCTTGCGGGTTCCCAGCTTGCTTTGTAAAGTAGTTGTGTATACACTGGATCAGAATCATTGAGACCAATATTTTCTGACGTCTTGTCACACCTAACCATCATTTCCTGCATTATCTACATGTTTCAATCTTGTGCTTGGTGCATAGCCAAACAAGGACTCCACCATTAAACAAATTAACGGCATATCCATCAACATTAGGAGGCACAGCCCAAGTGAATGATTTGAGCAATACATGCACCTGAATCACATAAAGCGAGCAGTTTTTCAGAGTGGAAATTGAGAAAACTAAAGATTGAGAAAATTGAGAACCATAAACAATGCAAACTTTTAAGCAATTAGTTCCCTACAACAGTAACAAAAGCGCAGAAAATAGACGAAGGCTGGCGGATGCCTGCACGTCGTACTGTCTCCTCAATACCAGTAACAATAACTGATATGCCTATACATAGGTCACAGTGGGTGCCACCAGACATGCTACAGTTGCAGTGTGAACGACCGAAGTTCACAACTACGTCCATCGTAGTCTTAAGCTGACCAATAATTGTTTCGAACGCACAGGGCTGACTGCATCCGCCTTATTGCCACCGCCTCAGTAAACCGTGACGAAACACAACTTGAACAATTGAACAATGGCTTAACAGGTCCCGTAGGATGGTGATGGTGAAACTACAAAATGTAGCCAAATTGTTAGCAAAATTTGGTTTACACCGATGAACTCACTGAGATATACGTGGTATAAGCTGTAAACCCAAGGTAAATCCATAGGGAATGACGGCAAATGGTATGTTGGCAAAAATCGTGTCACCTTCTGGTGTACTCATACAGGAAGTGAAAAAAGTGGAAACGAAGTTTGGGATTGGACCGCTGTTGAAACCTCTTATAAACATGCGTTTATCCATGGATAATGTGTTATGGAAGATGGTGCAGCAAAATAAGTGCACCGTCAACTCGGGCTTTGAACTCTGCCAGCACATATGACAGATTCCGGTAGGGCATTCCACCTTCTGCAAACGAGTGTGGAAAAGATATTCCGACGGCATTCCGAACGACTGTACTTCTCTGCCAGCTTGAGGTGGTGGCTTATTATACTACTGTTGTGCCTGACCTCCAGCAAGTAGCGGCAAATGTGCTTGGGAGCTCTCGAATCTGATAAGCTAAAATAAGATCACCTCTAAATCGCCGACATTGTCCGCTGAAGACCCCGAGTACTTGAAGCCTACGTTCATATGGCAAATTAAACGGACCCTTGACATTCTTGGTTGCCCGGCTTTGGGGTATGTTCAAGGCGGTGAGATCTCTCCGCAGCCATTGCTGCCAGGTCTGTATTGCGTATTCCACACCTGGCCGTATGTATGATCCAGGAAGTTATGAAGAAATCGAAGGGTCAAATCGTCCAAATGCACGCTTCAATAGCTCCACCAGTTGGGTGCCTCTTCCTGACGCCGTTTCAGCCTGATTCGAACACTCAGGGTCGACCTGGACCAAAACTCCTAGATCATTCTGGCCAGAAGACGTTTGAAGCTCCGTGTTGCCGAGCTTGTAAGAGTACACCAGCTTGTGCCCTAGGTGCAGCACTCTACATTTGTCCACCATGAATTGTAGTAGATTCTAGATTTACCAAGCGCGTACCCTATCCAGATCGGCTTCAAGTACTGTGATATCCTCTGGTGTATTGGTCGCACTCCACACCTTGAAGTCATCGGCATAAAGCAGGCAATTCGAGCTTGTGAGGCGTGTGATATAGTTAATATAGGTCTAAAATAATTTCGGTCCAAGTACCGATCCTTATGGTACTCTGCATTCAACTCGGACGTGATCTGACAGGGATTCACGCACTCGTACTTTCAAGAGCTGATGAAGGAGCTAGCTTTTGATCCATCCTAGGAGAGGATCACCAAGACCGCCAAAGGTCTGGAGTTTGAAGAGCAGACCGTTATGGGTTAATCGGTGAAACGCCTTTGTGATGTCGAGAAAGACTACATCAACTCCTTTGCCACAGTGTACTTCTGCAGTCCAGCTGGATCGTGCTAGTAGTAGATTTGTAGTGCACGATCGAGTTCGTCGGAAGCCATACTGTTCCGGTGTGAGGCAGTTAATTTCTTCTAAGTAGTCCGTTGACGCTTCGGAAATGATAGCTTCCATGACCTATGAAAGAACCGGTAGTAAGATTGTGGGAAGGTAATTGACTGGATTGGGACCACTACATCCCTTATGAATAGGAGTAATCATCCCGTGTTACCACATGTCAGGCACGTACATTTCGTCAAAACAGTGTTGGAAGAATATAGCCAAAGGCTCGGCTAAACTCTCTCCTACAGTCGCTAGCGATTTCATGTGTATATTATCAACCGCAGAAAAGCTATGCTTGCGCATACGCAACAGCTTCTGCCGTGAAGGATATGTGCGTGAAGTTTGGGGTTGTAACAACCATTGTCAGACTTACGTGGCCAGTGGTCGCAAGGAAATGTTGCAGCATGTGGCAGGCGCAGGGTATTCTCCGCCTCATTCGGTGTCCGTGTGGGTCCATCCGCTGTTCGAAGAGAAGGAATTCACCATTTCACCTTACGCAGACTGTTGACATGTTGTTACAGAAGTTTGTGATCTGAAGCCATACGCACTGCCAACTTCAGCTGGTACGCCATTCTATCTTTGTGAACAAGCTGAGTATGGTGCTTACGTTTGGTCGCATAAGCCATCCAGTTCTCGGTGCTCGGAAAAAGTTTGTTGATATGCCAGTCTGAATTTCGCACTGTTATACACTTTCGTGTCCTGCTTCACAAGAAGGAGACCACTTTTCTCGAAGGGAAAATCTTAGCCGCTGACGTTTCGGTAACCAGAGAGTTATACTGGCTGGCGAAATGTTCCAATGCACTAGCTCGTGCCTCGTCTGCCAGAAAGGTGCTGTTGGCTGTCTCACTTAGTCGAGCTAACATGTCGAAGCGTATAAGCATTTGCGTTGCATCGCTAATTTCCACGCGATATACTGCAAAGCAAATGTATTCGAAGAGTTGGACCACATGATCGCTGAGGCCCAAATGGACGTCGACGATCACCCTTTCGACCTCTAAAATACAGAAAAATCAGCGCAAATCGGACAGACAAGCAGCCACACACGCTCAGCCATTGACAGGAGAGGCATCAACTGACGCAATAGTTTGTAACGACCAAATAAATTAAGCTCATTTTACCCCTGTCGGAATTAAAGTGTTAACTGGACTCCCTTCATTCAGAAAATTGAACGAAAAGGAATCCAGTGTTCCAGTTTCTTCGGCAAATTGCATTCTAAGCCAGTTGAAGATACACAATAGCAAATCACATTCCTTGTGGTTCTGTGCAGTATGTGTGGTCATCTCCCTGGTAAATATTGTACATGAACTATCTCAGAAACTCGAAAGACTGGTGGCAATGTTTGAACAAATGAGAAACATCAAAACCGCTTCAGTAGGGGAAGCGTGGCAGAGCTAAACCCCCATCATTCCCATTACGCTCAGCTTCTAAACTCGGGAAGTAGGGTGAACAGCGAGTTAAACATGCGTAACTTGTGGATTTGGACGTCGCTAACACTAGTGGTTCAAATACGCCAGGACCTAACCACTTCCAGTCCGATTGCAAGAATACGGACAGGGCCTGGTCCGCTCTCCAAACGGTTCCGAAATTTCAGATGGACGTCGCCACTGGTAGTGGCTAGATCGTGCTTGCTGTCGAAAGGCACAGGAATCTTAGGTCTTCAGTTACAACCACTTGACCCAAATGCAATGAAGTAGGCGAAGCTGTAGTTAACCTCAAGCAGTTTTATGCAGACCAGCTAGGCAGTCGACCACAACTGGTGCTTCACAAATGCATTTTAAGAGACCACATGGTATCCCATCGGTACTATGCACCTACGTACCAGAAGTGGTGTCAAATCCCTCTAA